GCCTCCCCGCGTTCCCAGAACAAAGAGAAAACGCGTGCTCGCCAGGGGAGGGTCTGGTCCCTCCGCCTCCTCACCCGGCGCCCCTCCCTGCCGCGCAGCCTCCTTTGGGGCTTGGGACCCCACCTGCCGCCCCACCTGCAGCCCCACCTGGCGGCGCAGGAGCTGGCCCCGCCCACTTCGCCTGCGGACCCGGCAGAGCCCCCCCCAGCTTGTCCTGCTGTCCCAGGCTGAGTCTCAAGCGTGCAGGCTGACCTTGACCTGCGCTGTTATTCGAGTATCATCTGTCTGCCCCGCGCACTGCTTCCCCGAGGGCCGACACCCCGACTTCCCCGGCCCCTGTCTCATCGCCCGGCGCGGGCCTCACACAGCCCGGCGCTGAGGAAACCAGCGAAGCCCTGACGACGGGCGCGTGGGCCGCAGGGCGCGGCGGGCGAAGCGAGCTCAGCAATCACGGCCTGACGATGGGCATCGGGCCGCCCCGCCCCCCCGGAGGGCACGGCTCGTCTGCGGCCTCGGATGACCCGGGAATGCGGGGCAGGACACCTCCCTGGCGCTGCCCTCCTGCGGCCGGAGCAAATCTGTTGGCCTCGCCGGCCTTCAATGCCCTTTGGGAAAAATACAGCCGGCCAGTGGGGGCTGGGCCTGGGGTGCGAGGCCGAGGGCGCCCCCAGCGGCGAGGGCGGGGCTGGAGCGTGGGGGCCCGGCCTCTGCCCGGTGACCAGCGTCCTCCCGCGGCCCTGGGGACGCCCCGCAAGCACAGAGCTGCTCGGGTGGGAGGCAGGGGCTCCTCCTGCGGGGCGGGCACCGAGCACCGGCCCTGCTCCCCGCAGGCCCCCGCCCCAGACACGGGGAGATCGGGTTTCGAGAACCTTCCAGAGCCGGTGTAGCCTTTGCAGAGGCCACTGAAGAAGTGGATGCACAGTCGCCACGTCGCACACAGTGCCACCGCTCCGGAGATGCGCCGCCCGCTCGCCATGCTGCCCAGCGGACAGGAGGGACAGCAAGGGCAGGAGGGACAGGGGACAGCGGGGATAGGCGGGGCAGGAGGTGGCAGACGCAGAGCATGCGGGCGGGCGTACCTTGGGTCCTCGGCAGCCCCGGGCCCTCTCCTGGCTGCCCCCTGTCCTGCATCCTGAGTGGCTTCGGGACAGCCCCTGCCGAAGCCCCCACCTCCTCCCTCAGGACGCTGAGCAGGGCAGAGTCGCGCCCTGTCAGAACAACGAGGGACCAGCGCCGGCGAGCCTGCCCCTGGGGTCAGAGGGAAACCCCGCTTCAGCAGCAGAACCAGGCCGGAGCGCGGTCGCCCCCAGCCCCTGAGATTGTCTCCCCTGCGGTCCGCCAGGCTCAGGCCGCCTCCGGAGCTCAGGGCAGAAACGGAAGATGCCACCTGGGCTCCTGCAGGGCACAGCCATCCTCTGACCGAGCCCCAGTCCAGGCTGCTCCTCCTGTCTCGGTGGCCCAGGGTTGTGTGGGAGACGTGCCCGCCCTCCTCCCTGCCACTGAGAAGCCCCTCGGGGCTGCCGGTCTAGTGGACCCTTCTCTTTCTGCTTGTTTATTTTTTTATTCCTCACTTTAATATTTTAATGTTAACATAAAACATATTTCTTGGGGGCAGAGAGCTGAAATGTTGAAGTATGGAAAAGGCAGGAAAGAACCACCCCCCGCCCACCCGCGGAGGGGGGCCTGGAGAATCTCAACCTGCTTCTTTTGTTCCTTTCGTCCTTCATTGTCCCCCACGGTGCAGCTGGTCCCAGGCGCCACAAAGGGGACCGGGGATGATGGGGTGGGGCGAGGACCCGCGACCCCTGAGGCCGCCCCAGTGACGGCGACGGAGTTTAGGAAGCAAAGGGCAATCCCGACACCTCCGAGGACCTTGGCCGTCATCTTTGAACCTTTCACAAGCTTCCTTTCGCTCACCCATCACTCCCGAAACTGTTCAATATCAGGAAAAGCCACTAAGAAACTGACGAGGGCCACTAGGGGCTCGGGGCTCCCTAGCCCGGTGAGGGCCCTCGAGTGCCCGCCCTCGGCGACGCCCCGCGCTCCTGGTCCACATCCAGCCACGGCCTGTTCTGCAGAGCGGCCCCACCCGTGGCTGACAAGGGTGCAGGCCGACTTGGAACCCTGGGTCCCCACTGCGCTCTCAGCCTGACGACGGTGCCCGCAAAGCCAGCTTTTCTCCGCTTCTTTCCAAGGCCCACAGTGGAGGCTCAGATGGTCGGCTTGAGGTCACTCCTCAGGAGGACCGTGACAGATCAACAGTGCTGAAGCGGATGTGCCACCAAAGGACAGGGCAGGGCAGAAAGGAAATGAAGGACAGGCTGGCCACTCGCGTGCCCACACAGCAGTGTTGGTGCATGGCACGAGCCATCCCCACCTCCAGTCCTCAGGGGCCCAGCAGTGCCACTCATGTCCCCAAGGCCACGGGTGGAGCAGGCCCCAGAGGAGCCAGTATCCACACCCGCCCAGCCTCGTCAGAGAACAATGCTGTGCCGGACAGAAGCGGCCTCAGCCGCAGCGGCCGGACAGGCATTGCGGGCTCGCTGTCCACGGCGCCCATGGTTCCAGGTGGGCGGCCTGCCTGCCTCTCAGCCGGCAGCTCCTGCGAGCTCTGCGGTCACCAGGGTGAAGGGACGAGGGCCCAGAGGCGCTGGGGATTGTGACAGCGGACTCTGAAGGACGGGGCCACACCTGGCCTTCTCAGCATCCCTTGCACATAGTAGGTGGGCGATAAAAGACTTCATTAACCTCCTGTGCGTTCTGCCAGACCTGGGGTGTCAGGCAAGGGGACAGAGGCAGCTGGGAGGGACCCTGGCCCTGAAACCTGCAGTCGACAGCCGAGGCAAAGGTCTTAGATGAGAGGGTGCAGAGGCACAGGCACAGCCTTCAACAGAACATTCTGGGTCCCTTGGCGGTCACGTCGCTTCTGGTCCGGGATTAAGAAAGTCTATTAGTCACGTCCCAGAGGGGCCGCCTGCAAAGCAAGTTCCGGAAAAAAATGTTTGAAAGCACTTTGAGATGATAGGAAAATGGAGCTAGTTACGTGCAAAACAACGAATTTAACCAAGACAACATGGCACCACAGCAGCGCCTCTCAGGCCTGAAGCAGGCGACGCCGTTTACTGAACGCCCGTAACAGGGGAGCAGGAGAAAGAACAGGGCGCAAATGCAGATGTTTGCTCGTTTTCAGAGAAGTGTCAGAAAAGGGAGGGCGATTTTTATGTCAGCGCATTTCCAGCAAAACCACACAATTCGTATTTTCGCATGTTTTTAATAAAAGGATAATATCGAAGGCGATGCTCGGGGAAATGCTGGCAGGTAGCACTGAAAACTGTCCGTCCTTGAATGTCATCAGTCGCTTCAAGGTCGCAGGAAGCTGGGTGGGTACCCCCTTGCGTGCCTTACTTAAATCCTAATTAAGCGATGCGGCGTCTGCGTTAAGATGTGTTTAACACGACAGTTAGCTAACTCGTGTGATTCCCACATCTTCCCAGGCTGCTGGATGCGTGCATCACTCAGGCCTTGTGTTCACGGGTTGTGTGTGCTCAGATATGGCTGTGCGTGTTTGTTATTAGCGACAGAAGCTAGATTCCTCTGAGAGACTAGAACTTAGCCCATCTCTAGCTTCTATCCGCCCTGGGAGGGACAGCGAGACACGGTGTCCGATGGAAGTGGCATCATATATTTGTTCTGCGGAGATCTTAAATTCCGAGATTTTTGGGTCTCTTGCTGTCTGGACTTGGCGGTTTTCCTATCTTGGCAGCCTCAAAGATCTCAGCTTTTCAGTGGGCGCGAAGGGAGGGAACAAGCTTATGGCCATGTGGCATGCCACGTCTGTGTGCCATTATTTCCACAGGAGCTCAATACCTTCTTTGAGTCAGGATCTATTTCGGGATCTCTGCTCTAGGTGATCTTGACTAGGAAACATTAGGCTATATCAAAAAATAAATACTGTGCTGTCCCATGGAAAGCCAAATCGTTAAAGTTGTTTGCACCCGGGAAGGTTCCATAACCTAGCGGTTAGCACGTCTGCTTTACACGCACAAGGTCGCGGGTTCGTGCCCCAGTGGAGCCAGGGTCCATACCCGGGGTACACGCAAGCGAGTGGGAGGGCACACCCCACCCTCAGATCTCCGATTGAGACGGTAAAATTCCTAGGTCAGGGGTGGAAGTGGTGGGGGGGGATTAAAAAAGATATTTTGTGCCTATGAAACAGCTGGGGGGTGGCTCTGCCCCCGGCTCGCTCCTCTTTGTCCCGTGCCCTCGCTTTCCAACTCGCTGCCCGCACCCTCTGTCCCTCTGCGCTCCTGGGGCGCTTCATCGCCGTCTTCCCACCTATGGGCGCCGGCCTTCCCCCGCCCCCGCCCGCCCGGCACTGGAGGCGGCGCTTCTCTGCGCTCCACCACCGGGCACGGAGCACAGGACTTCCCAATGGGAAGAGACGTGGCTGCCGTCACTTACAGATGATAACTGGTCCCTTAAACGCAGGTCACAGCCCCTCGGTTAGACCTCACGGGCCTCGGCGGGGAGCCAGGCTCTGAGCAGAGCCTGCGGTGGGTGCTCGGGCAGGAGCTCCGGGAGGCTCGGGCCAGCCCGGTGGTCAGCACCACGGTCAGCGCCCCCGCCCGCTCCC